ACGACCCCTGACCCCCGGCCGGCCGGCGACGGCTGGGAGCAGCAGGGCGCCCCGGGGGGCGAGGCCGCCAAGAAGTCGTTCCGGTGCGAGCAGTGCGGCAAGGCCTTCAGCTGGCACTCGCACCTGGCCACGCACCGGCGCACGCACACGGGCGAGAAGCCGTACGCCTGCACCGACTGCGGCAAGCGCTTCGGCCGCAGCTCGCACCTCATCCAGCACCAGATCATCCACACGGGCGAGAAGCCGTACACCTGCCCCGCGTGCCGCAAGAGCTTCAGCCACCACTCCACGCTCATCCAGCACCAGCGCATCCACACCGGCGAGAAGCCGCACGCGTGCGACCGCTGCGCCAAGCGCTTCACGCGCCGCTCGGACCTGGTCACGCACCAGGGCACGCACACGGGCGCCAAGCCGCACAAGTGCCCGGCGTGCGGCAAGTGCTTCACGCAGAGCTCGGCCCTGGTCACGCACCAGCGCACGCACACGGGCGTGAAGCCCTACCCGTGCCCCGAGTGCGGCAAGCGCTTCAGCCAGCGCTCCAACCTCATGGCGCACAGCCGCACGCACACGGGCGAGAAGCCCTACCCGTGCCCCGACTGCGGCAAGCGCTTCAGCCACAGCTCGCACCTCACCGCGCACCAGCGCACGCACCGCGGCGTGCGGCCCTACCCCTGCCCGCTGTGCGGCAAGCGCTTCAGCCGCCGCTCCAACCTGCAGCGCCACCAGAAGATCCACGCCGCGGGGCCCCGCGCTCTGGCCGTGCTCATGCTGGCCGCGCCCCCGCCCGCCCCCACCTAGCGGGGGATCCACGGGTGTGCCCGCACCGAAGGACGGATGGACAGACAGGAGGACCTAGGCGAGCCGAGGGATGAGGGAAGGGAGCCGGGAGGTGCGGGTCTGGGGTGGGGAGACAAAGGACCGGAAGGGAAGGCTCGGGGTGAATTAAAGGCCTTAGAGCTCAAGCTGCGGCCCGGAGCTCTGTGTCACGCGTGTCCCCATCCGTGGGTGTCCCGGGTCAGCCACGTGTCGCCGCTCCTGGCTTGCGCACCGTCTCTGCCCCTCATCCAGGTTGGGTGTGTGTCTGTGTTCTGTTCCGGAACCTCGGGAACATAGGTCTCTAAGCAAAGGCTCCCGTCCTCCCACAGGTTTCCAAGCCCAAGGCCAGCTCTTCCAGCCCGTGGGCCCTGGCCAAGCCCCCCGCGGCCACCAGCATCTCTCAGGGGCACTCACTGCATAGTGGTAGGGCATGGACAACTTGAGAACAACTGATCGATGTTTACTTTCTGCCCCCATCTCCTGTCTCAGAAACCCTGGCTGAACTTTTGGGATTGGCTGTGTGTGTGTCAGTTGGGGGCGTGAACTCGGCCTGGGTGCTGTTCCTGAGCTCTAGCACTTGAGCTACACTCCCACAGCCCCTTTCCTTCCCTTTAAAGTCTGTTTTTCAAAACCAGGTCTGCTGCTTTTGTTCAGGGACCTCAGACTTTGATCCTCCTACTCTGGCTTCCCTAATAACTACAGGGATGCACCACTGGGCCAGCTGCAATTGTGTGTGTGTATGTGTGTGTGTGTTGGTCATAGGGCTTGAACTCAGGGCCTAGGCACTGTCCCTGGGCTTTTTTAATAAAGGCTGGTGCTTTACCACTTTGAGCCACAGCTCCATTTCCAGTTTTTCTGATGGTTAATTGGAGACAATCAGGGACTTCCTGCCTGGGCTGGATTTGAACCATGATTCTCAGATTTTCAGCCTCCTGAGTAGCTAGGATTACAGTTGTGAGTCACCAGTGCCTGGCTTAATCATTCTTTATGCCAATTTTTTTTTTTTTTGTTGGTCGTGGGGCTTGAACTCTGGGCCTGGGCGCTGTCCCTCAGCTCTTCAGCTCAAGGCGAGTGCTCTACCACTTGAGCTACAGTGCCACGTCCGGTTTTCTGGTGGTTTATTGGAGATAGGAGTCTCATGGTCTTTCCTGCCCGGGCTGGCTTTGAACCACGATCCTCAGATCTCAGCCTCCTGAGTAGCTAGGATGACAGGCGTGAGCCACCAGCGCCCGGCTTTTATGCCAAAATTTCTATCTGCACATGAGTATTGTGATTTTTAGCTTCTAATTGGTAGATTGCTTACCTATTTGGAGCTTTGGGTTTGATTCACAGTACCAGACAAATGTAAAACATCTCATTAGTAATAGCTTGGAGCTTGAGAGTGCATGGTTCAATGTAGAGCGCCGGCCCTGCAGCCCCTCCGCCCCTCCACCCACTCATTGAAGCCGGCAAAAAGGAGAGCCCACCCCAGGGCATCCCTTCCGGCGAGCCGGGAGTGGGCTCTGCGGCTCTGACCAGCCCTGGCACTGTGTTTTCAGGGACTGGAGGGGCAGAGACCTGGAGGAGAAGCGGCGGAAACCAAGGCCGGAGCCCCTCAACCCCCAGACCCCAGCCCATCCTTCCCTGGGCCCGGGTACTGGCGCGCCTGGCTCCGCTGCCTTGTGATTGGCCGGCACTAGAAGTTCTCTCCGCTCATTGGCCACCAGTAGTCAGTGGACGCACTGCTTTTCGGGACGCTGATGTGTATCGCGGCGCATGCGTCGCGCCGTTTCCCGGCAACCCTCGCGAGAACTTCCGGTACCTGGAGCTGGCGGCGGAAGTGGGAGCGCTTAGCCCGCGGTGGGCGGTGTGTCCCGGGGGCGGGGACCGGCGTGGCGGCCGCGAGCGCTCGGCCGTGA